GGATCCTATACCCCCTCCAGAAGAGATCAAATCTTCTTTTTCACACAGATTGGGTATATTAATCGCCTACACTTTTATTCCTCCATGAATTCCTCAATGGTGTATAGAAAAAGAAACTACATAGTGTAATACTGCCACTTCATATAGAATAGAAAGATAGAATAAGGCCACTCACATGTTTAAATATAATTAAAAGCCTTGTTTAATAGCCTAGATGGCTTCAAAATAACCACTTTCCACAGTTGCAAAATATAGGGATCTCACGCTTCTGTAGTGTCTGCAGAGGAAGAACAGCCTTCATGTGAGTGGCCTTATTCTATCTTTCTGTTCTATATGAAGTGGCAGTATTACACTATGTAGTTTCTTTTTCTATACACCATTGAGGAATTCATGGAGGAATAAGTGGACGCGATTAATATACCCAATCAGTGTGAAAAAGAAGATTTGATCTCTTTTGGAGGGGGTATAGGATCCCTTATATCCTATAAGGCTCAATACTCACCTCTATCTGGTGAGTGCGGTTAATATCATTTTTCACGTGGTGGATAGGTGGAAGCACATTTCGAATAATTTATTATTGGTTTCAATGGGAATAAGGACTTATTTTCACATGGACACTTGATTTTATATATTTTTTTTATTTATTCACTTGTGTAATTTTGTTTGTAGATTTTCCGCTGTTTTTTGTTGTTAGTAAAATCAGTCTGTATATGCAGTAAAGCATGCTTTGTTAGACTCACTGTTGAACCAAAGGGGTTAATCATCTGCATTGTGTAAAAACGCTGTTTGATCTAGTCTTCTCTTATCCTCCTCTTCTTCCAGTGTCCCCTCTTATTTCCTGATAAGACATAACGTGTGGAGTCACTCTGCACATGCTCAGTTTTGTTTGTATTACTAGAGAGGTTATTTTTCTTGGGGGAGTGCATGTGGTCAAGACAAGGCCAATCAGCACTGTTCAAACATGGGGTCATCCACCTAGAACAGGATGAAAACTCCTCCTACAACCCTTAACATGCGCTCTGGTGGACACTGATAGAACTCACTAGACTGCTATATACTGCTGATGAGAAAAACGTATTTAGCAGTTTATATTTACTAAAATAATTGCATTTCCATATTGTGTGTACTGTGGGAGACCAGACAAAGCGAATGCAGTGTCCTGGGTTTAGTAACACTTTAATAGAACAAATACCTGTGAAATAAAACAGTCATGTTTATTTCTAATAACCTTATATCACAGTTTATCAATATGTGAGGTTTCACATGGATGTCTTATTTTAAAGTGCCTTAGCAGCTGTCAGCTTGTAGTTCTCAATGAACCACAGCGCCGTGGTGGTTCATTGATTCTTCCTGCTTGTACACCCCGTAACGGCAGGCAGATATATTGACAGATCTGCAGGAGACCTGTATGACACCAGTGATCAGCTGATCACTGGTACAATGCTTTACAGGCTCCTGCAGCAAAAAACAATAAATGCACATTTTTTTTACCTGCAAAAAAATGTGCATTTATTATTTTTTATCAAAAGGTGAACTTTAAAGTGATTGTAAATGCTATTTTGTTTTAAAATAGCAAACAGGTTTAAACTTATATGCTCTCTGCAATGGAATTGCACTTAGTAGCCCCGATCCTCTTTTTCTTGGGTCCCCTGCCAGCAATCCAGGCTCCTCCTCTTCTTGGTGTGCCACCATAAGAAGTTGCCTTATAGACACAGACAACGTGGTTCGTCCCTCGTCACAAGATTTGACTGACAGCTGCGGGAGCCAATGGCCGAGCCTGTGAGAGTGAACAGAAGAGAGATAGGCACAGTGCTGGATTGAGTGAGGGCTCAGGTAAGTAGGGGGGTAAAGTGGGTGAGGGGGCATACTGCTACCTAAACATTTTTTGCCTTAATACAAGGAATGCATTAAGGTAAAAAATGTTTAGGCTTTAGAACCACTTTAATTAAGTTCCACGCACCCTATCTGTGGGGCTTTATATACTGGGGAAAATAAAGACATACAAACACCTAAATACACAATAGAAAATTACATATAGTAACTAATTTTCCTGCAAAAAGTTTTGTAATTTCCTTACAAAAGTTTTTAGTTTTCAGAAACCCGTCAGACAACAAAGCTTGGTCAAGAACACACCTTCATCCTTCTGATTGGACAATGAAAGAACAACAGCAAGCATACTTCAGTTCCCTTTGTTGTCGAGTTGTAGCAGCATTATCCTTATCAGCACATGTGTATTACAACAGTCTGGCTCAGAGTGTTGATCTTTGCATTTGCTGTACAGGGGATTACAGGAGGCTGTTTTTTTTAAAAAAATAGCCTAAAGTGGAACTAAACCATTTTATCCTTTACAGCTAAGGAAGCTACACATGATTTGCAGTTGCTTAGGTGCTGAACATGTGATCATTTTTGAAACAAGACTTTTGATAATTTGACAGTTCAGTTTAGAGCAGATACAAATGTGACAGTTATTCATGGCAATGCCTTGAATGCAACTGTTCTGGGACATCATTAAATCAATGGGTTTAGTTCTGCTTTAATAACTACTGTTTAATAAATACCTAACCAATGAGATTGAAACTATCAGATCCCAACAGTAATTCTTTAGTGCAGATTTGAAAACTAATTGGTAGCTGTGGGGCAATAATAACACTTCCTAGTAATGACACTTTGATATATGGAAGCCCAAAGTCTATGTTCAAGAATCAATGAAGGGAATTTATCAAAACTAGATCAGACAGAATCTGGAGAAGATGTGCACAGTAGCCAATCAGCCCATATATTCAGCTTGTTCAGTTAAGCTTTAAAAATTAAAGATAGAAGCTGATTGGTTACTGTGCACAGCTGCTTCAAATTCTGGCTGCTCCAGTTTTGATAAATTCTCCTAATAAAATCTTTTCAATGAATTCCATGAATGAATTCAATGAATAGAATTCTTAGTTGTAACATCTAGGAAGCGTTGAATCATTTGATGTCTTATACTGTATACAGATGAATTAAATTGCACGGAATACATGACACTGCAAATACTGTTTTGAAATAGCACAGTTGTAATAAAAAATGCGTTCCTTGTGACAGCGTGAGCATGCCATGTTGCCATAACATCCGCATTGTAGCACTTCATAGCTCTGAAGTGCTTGATGAAAATAATAGATCATATGCATAAAGTGTGACACTTTTAGCATCTTGAAGTCTACACTTTGCATAGCTACTGGATATACTATATCTTAGTTTATATGGATACATAGTCACTGCTAAAAAGATGCCTTTTCACTACATTAATCCCTTAAATGCGAATTGTTTTTCCTGCATCACTTACAAGGAGCTATTTTAGGGCTATTGACATTAAAATGTCATTGTGATGCACCAAGCCAGTGTCCTCAGTCTGTGTTATGGACTTCATGTGTCACAGCCTCTGATGAAGAGAGAGGATGCATGTTTTTTTTTTTATTTGCAGAAATCACGTCAGCTTAAAAAAGGCATCAATATTTTTTAATATTGTTCAAAAAACATATTACAAGGCAAGACTTATAATGGGGAAAGGTCTTTGTTGCCTATGGAAAGAATAAGACTTATTTTTTCATTTCTTAGCATGCACTAAAAACAATAGCTGTAATCCAATTACTTGTGACAAGTAATGCAGTACAATCCACTGAAAACTGAAACCTACAATGAAAGAAATATAAAGCTTATATGTGGTGGATTGTCTGGAGTTCAGTTTTAAGCTATGGGTGGAATTTAGATTGTGACTTCTATGGGTTTGTTGCCATTGGTAGATGCCAAGGGGGAGATTTACTAAAACTGGTGCACTCAGAATCTGGTGCAGATTTGCATGGTAGCCAATCAAATCTCTAGCTTCAGCTTGTTCAATTACGCTTTGAAAATAAAACCTGGAAGCTGATTTCTTACTATGCAGAGCTGCACCAGACTTTACACCATGCAATTTTAATAAATAACCTCCCAAGTGAAGTCTGCCTTTACACAAATACGCCTTTACACAAGGTCTGCTTATGTTTACAGCCCCTACCCTCCAAATAAAACAATAAGTGAAGGTTATAAAAACATATGAAAAAATGTACAAAATACTGACCTTACACTCTGGCCTCTGGGCGAGGGAATTCTAGTGAAATCATGGAAAATGTGAGGATCCTGAATATACCAGAAATTTTTTCCTGCTCAGTGCTGCAGAATCTTCTTGTGAGATTTTGAATCCTGGGCATTCCCAGGATCCCTTAGCAAGGCTCAGTCATCTCATCAACAAGCAGTGCCAGGACAATGTGCTTTATCATCCAAGGCAAAAAGTTCTTCCTCCAGCCCCATGAGTTGTAAACTACTTCAACAGCATAGGTTACAGGTCCTGCTCTTTTTTGAGCGCCCCAATCTTCTGTCTACTTTTTGGCCTGGCCCTGTCAACAAGCAGCAGTGATGCAGAGTGTAAGGAAAGTCATTTTCACAATTTCCTTGCAATGTTATATTTTGCTATAGCTTTCAGTGATAATTTTTTTTATCCATGGGCAGTTAAAGAGCAGTTTGTGTTTTCACCAAACTTGCCCTCCAGATGATTTACCCCCCCCCCCCTTCCTGACCAGGCCATTTTTTGCAATAAGGCGCTGTGTTACTTTAACTGACAATTGCGCGGTCATGCAATGCTGTATCTAAATTAAATTTATTTCCTTTTCTTCCCACAAATAGAGCTTTCTTTCGGTGGTATCTGATCACCTGTGTGGCTTTTATTTTTTGCAATATAAACAAAAAAATGACAATTTTGAAAAAAAAAAACAATATTTTTGACTTTTTGCTATAAAACATATCCACAAATTTTTTTGAAAAGATCGAATTTCTTCATAAATTTAGGCCAAAATGTATTCTGCTACATGTCTTTGCTAAAAAAAAATCCCAACACATGTAAATTAATTGGTTTACGTGAAATTTGTAGCATCTACAAATGGCGGTATTTATACTAGAATTTTTTTTTTATAGTAGTAATGGCGGCAATCAGCAACTTATGCAGGTCTGCAGTGGGCATTCTGACACTGGGTGGGAACTAACTGCCACTGAAATCCCAATGACAACAATACAGAGATCAGTGCTAATAAAAAGCACTGACACTGTACTAATGACACTGGGCAGGAAGGGGTTAGCATTTTGGGTGATCAAAGGGTTAATAGTGTGCTGTGCTGTGTGTGTTTTACTAGGGAGACATGCTGCTGTGTATTTATCTGCTGTGCAGAGAAATACACAGCAACATGTCCTTGCTGGCAGGAGAGAGACCTGTGTTGTTTATACACAGGTCTCTCTTCTGTCAGTTCTACATGGCAATTGCTCGGTGCCGGCGGAGAATCTCCAGCAGGGACCCGATAATTGGCATGCCTAGCCGCAAATGGCGGCGTGTGTAGGGCAGCGTGCGAGCGTGCCCCCTACCCGGAAATGCAAATCACGTATATATACGTGATTTTGCGCATTTTGCCCTGTAGCAGTAGTTCTAGTACAGGGAGGCGGGCAAGTGGTTAAATAAAGTACATATCACAGAGCATTTAAGTTGTCTTTTGAATTTTTACTCCCACTATTTTCCTTTTAATGAATACAGCATGTCAACCCAAAATTTCATATTCCTGATATGTGCCTGCTGTACAATGTACTTGTATGAAAACGTATCCTGTTCTCTTTGTATTGCTTCCTTTGTGTGAAATCCCTGTTGTTCCTGTCAGTCCCTTTGCTTTCCTATTAAAAACTGACCACACTAGGCATGAGAGCACAGCATAGTCAGTTTTCTAGCTGTGCTCCAATGATCATGCTTGTGCTGACATGCCCCCTCCCCCTTGTACAGCCATTCCCTGGGAAGACTAGCATGCTGCTGCTTCTCTCCCCCAGCTCTCTAAGATCCTTATGCAGCTCAGAACAGAGAGAATGTGATCACTTTTAAAAAAGGGGGGACAGAGTATGTATAATGTATCTATGCACAAATGTTTTGCCTTTCATTTCAATTTTAAACTGAATGGGCTGTTTTACAAGGTGAAGGTTTACATATACTTTAAGCAAAGTAAAACTTTATTGTTTTTCCTAATGATCACTTCTGTTTCTATGGTGGCTCCTTTATTAACTGACTCTCTATGGAGCCACCTCAAGTTGCACGATCCCCCACTGGGCCTTCTCAGTGAAAAGCAGCTTCCCTGTGGACTCTGAGTGTCAAGAGATGCAGGGCACTTGGGATCTGCCAACCTTCCTGCCCACATGTCTGTGACTGACAGTTTTTCCCATCTGCAAGACCAACAGAAAATCAATGAAAACATCAGGTGCCCGTGCATTAGGAGAATCAATTACAAGTACTCATTCAGTACTCATGCGGGATGTAGTCAAGCATAAGGGCATCAGTGAGTAACTGTGTGTGTGTTCCCCAACTTTAACTTTGTGAGAACTCAGCAAAAGCTTTAAAAAGAGAGGTGAAGATTTTATGAACAAAAAGGTCACTAAATGGTGTGACATTGAGAGATCATTTATAGATAAAGAGTTTAATACTAGTTTAAATGTTTAAATACAATATGACCTGATTGCTGCAAGGCCAGGAAATTTAAACTCATGATCCATATTCTCATGGTGGCCAAAAGGGTACTGGATTTAGCATCCCCTACTATTTCCTTTACAGAGGTAAACAATCTAATAGTGCCAGCAATGTTATATGAAAACTTGCAGCCATCCAAAATGACACTTTCCCTAAATTTAAAAAGGTGTAGATTCTATGAATTGAATCTCATATGCAGGGGAGGACTGACAACTCATGGGGCCCCCAGGCAATAGGAAATCATGGGGCCCCTTTATCCTTGCCCACACTCAAACCACACCCAAAAAAGCCTATGAAAGGTACCAAAGGCATCTCATGGGGCCCCCTACTGACCCCGGGCCCTCGGGCAGAGCCCGAGTGCCTAAATGGTCAGTCCGCCCCTACTCATTTGCCATCCTGGGCAAGAATGGCATATCTGGACCCTGTGCACATATGGTGTGGGTCTCTTTGGGAGCCCCAACAAAATTTCTGTGCATGCGTGAGATCCCTTGAACTGCCTCCTGGGGTGTCTACATCATGCGTCCCAGAGGGCAGTTTGCTGCATCTCACGCATATGCAAAATTCCAAGGAGTCTTTCTCAGTTTGCTAGTAGAGCCCTGAGACATGTCTGTTGGATGCACAGGGGATCCGGCACATGCACAGAAAAGGAATGAGGCTCTTCCAGGTCCCATAAACCTCTGCTGGTTGGAAATGCTTCAGATCTCGATTCAAGAGGGTGGCACTGAAGAAGAGCAGTGTAGGGAAACTTTGCCTGCAAGCAGAACAAGTCAGACTCCTTAGGCTAGTAAATATATATTTTTTTTACAGGGACAAATGTAAGGAATATAAATTTTCATTTTTGATCAGTAGGGTGGAGTTCCTCATTAAGGCCCTGCTCACACTTGTGTGATGCAGGAAAACATTTAAAGATTGCACGTGTTTTCATAGTAAATCTTTTTTGCAAGCAAGCTGCGTTTGCCAATAATTGTTAAAGTGGAACTTCACCTTAAAGGGGAAGTACCGCTTAAAGTCCTCCTCCCCCCTTCTCTACCACATTTGGCGTATCATTTTTTTTGAGGGGAGAGCAGGTACCTAGTTTTTAGTTATTTGGCCTACAACCCCTTTACCTGCAGGCTTCTGGGACAAGTCACAGGTCCCAGAAGGCTGCCGGACCATTCACAAAGTGCAATGCGGCTGGCACATGTGCAGTGGGAAGCCAGCTGTGAAGCTGCAAGGAATCACATCCAGCTTCCCACACTAAAGATGCCAGCGCCAGGTACCAGAAGACTGGTGAAGAATCGGCCTGGGTGAGGACAGCACTGGATTCTTGAACAGGTGAGTGACCTTTTATTAAAAGTCAGAAGCTACAGGATTTGTAGCTGGTGCCTTTTTTCCTAGGGCAAAGAACTGCTCTAGTAGAACCCCAACACACCTTGTGTAAGAAACTGCGTGACAAAATGCATGGTATCAAAGCAGCGTATACTTTGGTGTGGCTCAATTTAAAAACAAGGGTCATGCACTTCTTTGGTGCAATTTAAATGTCCATTTCAATGTACTATGTGAAACTAGGCTAAGAGTGACATTCCCTCAAAGGGAATGTCCTTAACTGTAGACAAACAAATTGACTAAGGCACTTTTACTCCATGCATGCCAAGGGGATGGCTGGTCCTCCTCCGATGCCCTGCTATCTAGACCTTTCCCTCTTTTTTTCCTAATCTCCTCCCCCCACCCTTTTTAATTTTTTATCTTTTTTTCTTAGCTTTTTTCTCAAGCTAGAGTTGTCTCTGCTTTGATAACTCCAACCTGTGCAGTTTCCTGCATTAAGGGCTGGTTCACAGCAGATGCAGTCCAGTACACTTTTCTGTTCCAATATGTATTTCAAAAGTACATAAAAAGCTACATTGTGCCCACGCAGGGGTGACATCAAGCATTCACATAATAAAATTTGCACATGTACACATAAAGGATAGTATACAGCAAAGCCCAGCAAAAGTGAAGGGGCATGCTAAAAGTCCACAGGTTAGGGGGCGCAAATTACTTGCCTTGCTCCGGGCACTGACAATCCACACTACGCCACTGGACAATGCTATGATTTCCCCCTGGGGACAACAGTCCCCTCTAATAAACTTCATACCAGAAAAAAAAGAGGATTGAATAAACAATGGGAGAAGAAAAAGAGAAGGGGGGAGGGGAACCAGGGGGTGGGAGAGTACCACGGACCAGTCTAGTGCATTTTTATTCTGCATCAGGAACCATAGACAGGTAGACAGATGTTTCACATAGATTTCAAAGGCCCTAGTTCATACCAGTGCAGTCAACAAAAATAGTACATGCTACATTCTCTCTGTATAGAACATGGCAAAATATAAAAAAAAATGCATTGGAAAACGTGTCCTGAATGGAGATGAAGGAAAAAAAGGGAAAAAGCGCACCAGAACACATCAAAAACACGCATCCAGAAGGCAGAATTTGTAGTGTGTACTGGCTCTAATCAGGAGTAGAAAGTACACTTCGCAAGAAAAATTTATCACTATCCATTTTGATGATTTGTTTCCTCTGACTTTCCACTGGACACATTGGATGTTATACGGCCAATTATGACATACAAGCAGATGTTTGACAGACTTGATCTGGTCACGGATCTACATGCTCCTATCTTGCCTTTTTCCTTTAAAAATTAATAAAATCTTTTAACAAAAATATAATATCACACATTAAAGTGCAGGACCCTGCATTCACTATATCCGGTCTCTCACAATACATACGGTACAACTTGAAAATGCAATTATTTTAGTAAATATAAACTGCTAAATACCTTTTCTCATCAGCAGTATACAGCAGTCTTGTGACTTCTATCAGTGTCCGGCTGAGCACTGGTTAGTCTTGTAGGAGTTTTCATTCTCCTTTGACTGTCCTATAAGGCTGTATGATCCCTGACCCTCTGTCTGGACAATGCTGATTGGCCCTGTGCTGATCACATTCACCCTCCCAAAGAAAAAAAAACCTCTCTAGCAAACACACCAAACTGAGCATGTGCAGAGTGACTCCTAGTGCTCTGTACTATCAGCAGATGGATTGGGGACTGTGGAACAAAGGGAGGATCAGAGAAGACAGGATCAAACAGCCTTTTTACATAATGTGGAGGATTAACCCCTTAGGTTCCACAGTGAGTATAACAAGTATGATTTACTGCATATACAGACTGATTTTTACTGCTGTGGGTTTAGTAACACTTACTTAGACTCAGTTCACAACTGTGCGGGTGCTGCTGCTATGGAACCCACACAAATACCAGCACCCGCAACCACCACACAATAATTGTCAACTATCACCGGCGCGATCACCGACGTGGAGGAAGATTGTTTTGTTTACAAACAATCTTCCTCCCTGTCAGCTCAAGCACACTGCTCGAGATGGCTGTGCATAGTACAGCCATCACGAGCAGTGTGCTTACAGTGAAGAACACCCCCCCAGTAAAACACTCCCAGCACACAGTTAACCCTTTGATAGCCCCTCACATTAACCCCTTCCTGCCCAGTGGCATTAGTACAGTGTCAGTGCTTTTTTTTTTTAGCTTTTAGCACTGATCACTGTATTGGTGTCACTGGGGTGTCAGTGACACCAAGTTAGTTCCCCCCCCCAGTGTTACAATGCCCGCTGCAATCCCGCTAAAAGTCGCTGATCGCCGCCATTACTAGTAAAAAAAAATCCCATTATCTATACCGCCATTTTTAAACGCTATAACTTTCACGTAAACCAATTCATTTACACGTATTGGGATTTTTTTTTAGCAAAGACATGTAGCAGAATACAT